CCCCAAAACCCCAAAACCCCACTAGTGATAGATAATTAATTATAAGAAATTTGCAATATATTAAAATTTAAAGTTACCATTAAATAAATTTATTATTTAATCTTTCAAAAATGTTCAAATAAGCATAAAAAGCTTAAGCTTGTATAAAACAAAGATTAGCTCATAAAATTTCTTCTACCCACCAGAATATTATCATCTTCCCAAATATTTGTTAATTCTCTACAAAGCCTACTCCAAAAGCAGGATTTAAACTTCCAAGACTCTAGGAGGATGAGTAGATTACTGGTTTTAGAATGAGAGGCGACACAGATCTATTCTCGAAGCCAAAGAACTTTAACTTTGACTTGCGCAGAGAAAATGCTGAGAAACTCAAGTTCAATCTAGTAAAGGCTGGTATTCTACTTTCCATGATTCCAATATTTATCTTCGTGAAGAATGCTGAGCAAAATTTTAGAAATGCATAAATTAAGGAGATAGCCTCTAAGCGTAGAGAAAGATTGGATAAAGAGCATGGTATTAATAGAGAAGAGTGGAAAGAAAGCATCAAGGATATGGACAAGGTTTTTAGAATCACTGAAAAGGAGGAAATCGAAAAGTTTAGACAAGTTGGTAAGACAGCAGAGGACTATTATAAGCAGAAGGAATAGCATGAGAAGAAAGAGCAAGATATGGCTGCCAGATAGAGTGAAGCAAAAAGACAAGAAGAGGAGAGTCAAGTAGTTGTATCAACTGATGAGACTTCTGATGGAATGTAAATCAAAAAGATTTCTGGTCAAAATTTTGAATAAGTGCAAGTATAATAAGTTGGCACTACACCAGATCCCAGAATTCTTGGACCTAAAATTATTTTTGATAGTAGACTTGACAAATTTGCTACGGCCCAGGAGAGTAAAGACCACATCAAGCAAAAGTAATAAGAATCACCTCCATACACCCTTGACGACAAGAAGAAATTACTCATTAAAATGCTTTAAAAGAAAGAAGAAGTAAAAGCAAATGATTTCAAAAATGTATAAAATGAATAAATTTAAGAAAACCCTTCATAGGTAGCTGAAGTAGAAGTTGAAGAGCCACCTAAATCAGGATTTTAAAGACAGCCTAAGAAAAATTCGTTTAAAAGCAATGCTGAAGCTGAGCCTATATTCTTACCTGACTCTTAAATGCAAGTGGAATGCTAAAAGGAAAAGTTACTGGTCGAAGTGTCTGAAAAGTATAACATGATAGTCTAATTCCTAAAGAATTATAAATCAGATACTAGAGAATATCTTAGCTACATTATTGTGAAGGCAATTCCGTAAATGAATAGCATAGATTAAGATGAGGTTTAGCAATTCCTCAACTATCTAGATCAAAATATTGAATCTCTCGATATGGCTGTAGAAGCTTAAACTCTCACTAAAGATTCATTCAATTAGTTACAACTAAAATTAAAGATAGCAAAATAAAGCATAGATGTCCTCATTGAAGAAGTTATTGATGTTAAGAATGTAGATATTAGAGAAGCGATAAAGACAGGACTAAACTGTCAAATAACTGAGCTTAAGAAAGCCTCTTCTGAATTCAAGAGATTGAATACAATTATAAAATCACTAAATGAGTATACTTAAGGATTAAAAACGCTTTCAGATTCAGGCTGTAGTGTCTCTGATCTTGAACTTGACAAGTAGAAGCTTAATTCATTTGTAAATATAATGTCTTTCCTTTTATCTTTTTAATTAGGTTAAATAAGTTTTTGTTAAATTGAGAAAACTTGAGCAAGATCTAAATGAAGGTACTATAAAGATCATTTCTGATGAAAAATTCACTACAAAGACTAAAGAGTAGACCTTATACAATAATATCTTGATGGATTATAAAAGAAAGGTGCAAGATTATTTTGATTACGAGCCAGATACCACTTAAGTTAAGAATATTTTTAAGGAAAAACTAGTAGAGATAGAATCTTTCTTTTATGACTTAAGCGATAATAGTGACAAATTTAAGAATGGCCTGCATAAGATCATTCTAAACTAGAAGCAATTAATGTTGAGTGAATAATATATTATAAGAATGAAGTCCTTTATAAATGAAAGAGAAAAGATACTTCAAAATATAGTCAATGATGTAAAGGTGATTTTCGTGGAGTTTTAGTAAATGATACGTAATGTAAATGATTTTGTTATCCATGATATGGAATTTTAAAAGTTTTAATCAACTCTTTAAAAACTTGTAGGAGCTAATATAATGACTTCATTCTCTACTACTACGCAAGGTGATCTTGATTCGGAAGATTATGTATATGATAGCAATCATTTAATGTTTAAATTGACATAAAAAGGAGCTCCCGATTATGAAGTACTTAAAGAATAGACCAAAGATATAATATTTATCTACCATTAATTACAAAATATGCTAAAATTAGCAGGGAAGATAAGAACTCATGACAGAGAAGAAGAGATTAAGATTTACGCTCATAATGAGGAGAACCTTAAAAAGGCTCTTGAAGAAATTCAAAATTAAAATTTAATTAGGGCTAGAAATTACATCTTATAGGTAAAAACATCAGAATCCTCGATGAAGATGATAAAGAAATTGATTTTGGATTTCGAATTGAGAATATATGCTGAAGATATTTTGAAAGATAGTCTTTAGGAGAGTGATTTCAAACTCAAGAAAACTAAATATGTTTGAGAGTTATTCCACTTTAAAAGCAATGAGGAAGTTAATATATGATCAGCGATGATTTTATTTAAATTTTAATTTCATTTTCAAAGAATTTATTTAGCTCCATTATTACGGGGTTTTGGGGTTTTGGGG